TTCAGTTCAGATTGATTAACCGATTATAGCCCAACCAATTCAAATCACTAGATAAGAACTGAAATTTGGAGATCAGTTTTGTATGTAGACTTTTAATCTTACTAAAATGGTATTCAGTAAACTGTTTTTATTTCACTATTTTTATGCTTAATATTATAATATGTTGCTAAATTATTCAATATTTATGTTTTGTACTTATGGTTATTATTTATTTATTTATATTCTAAAGTTAAGAAATATAATTACAAAAAGATTAGAATATGTTTATTATTATAGAATAATATATGATTTCGTCAAGCATTATAAGTAAAAAGATGGATTATATTATTGATGATATTTTACATTCTACTTATTAAAATTAAATGATTTTTATATTATTCAATTCATCTCTTTAAGATGAATCGAATGGTGTAAAAATCATTTTATTTGAAATAATATTTAGGGAGAAATCTTTGTATTTTTATATTTGTAACAAATGATTCGAATTAGATTATTTTACTAATAAATCAATCTTAGTATATTAAGTAAATTATTTATAATATGAATTTCTATATGGATTTAAAATTTGGTGAAATTCAAGTAACCTTCTATTAATAAAGATTCATGATATATGTTTCATATCAATATTATTGTTTAAATTTTTTTATTTTCAAATCTGTGATTTGATTAGCTGATTTTCATGTGATTTATATGCAGAAATGTCTAGAATCATTTGATCAGCACTTATATACTATAAAAGGTGTGATCAATGCTATTTATATTTGGTATATTCCCTGACTAAACTATAGAATAAGTGATAATAGTTAAAAAATATTATTATGCAGTCATGTTATTGTGACTGCATTAAAAATTCCCATATTCAAGCAATTTACATCATTTTGATATATACTTATTATAAATATTTATATATAAGAATTGAAGATAGAATTACTTATTTATTTCTTTTTAAAAACCATATAAACATTAAATTATTGCATATTTTTCAATTTCATTTTGATAACACTATCCAATATTGCAATACTCTTTGAAATATTCTTGGCAGCTTTTTTTCATTCATAGTAGTGTTTATATCATATTCATATTAAAATTTAAAATTATATTGCCCAACAGATCAGATTTTACAATTTAATAAAGGCTATCTATAATAGTGATTATGTACATGAAATGTAATGCTTAAATTCATAAATAAATCTCCTTGAAGAAATTTTTTTTGGGTTGCTTGAATTTCTTGAAATTCTTTTTGTGTCACTTGAATTTCTTGAATTTCCTTTTGAGTTGTTTGAATTTCTTGAAATTCTTTTTGAGTTGTTTGAATTTTTTGAAATTCTTTTTGCATTGCTTGAAATTTTTGAATTTCTAAGCCTTCATTCGGAACTAATAGTAATTGGTGCAAAGGTAATCTTGATAACATATTCACTTGTGGTGGAGTTGCTTGTGGTTTCGATGATTTTGCTTGTGGTAAAGTTGTTTGCAATTTTGATACAAGATCTGCTTTAATTTTTAAAAAAAAATTAATAAATCATAATATAAAAAAAAATTGATAGTAAGATACTTTACCTTGATAAATTTGTCTTGCAAATCTGAATTGATTATATGAGTCAGTAGTAGAAAGTATATTAGGCTGATAATTTTGGGTATCTAATAATGGTTTAGGAGTTTTTAAAATTGTCATTAAACTATTTAGTATAGCCTTCTGAACACTATTCTTTGGCCATTCATAATGAGCTAAACTTGATAAAGATCGATGCTTTATAATAGTCGAACCTTCATAATCAGAAGTATACAGATTTTTTAACTATTGCACAAGAGTTTTCTGACCTGCTTGATTAGTGATCTTGCAACCTTCACAATTGATTCCAGTTTTTTCTGCCAATATTCGCATAAATGAATTTATTTTATGTTCTTCAAGTTGTTTTGTTTGGTACCAAATATTAACAGCTGAATTATCTAAAATATTTATATATATAAGTAGAATATAATATATTGACTGATAAAATAAATTAAAATTCTTAAAGTATCAGATGCAGATTTTGTACCAATTGAGTATATATAAAATCCAGGATTAGCATTAACAAGTCTTTTTGAAAGTACTTTTCATAATCTTCAATAATTATAGAATTATTAGCAGGAATAGAAATTTTATCAGCAGCACCAAGGTTATCTAGCCCACGTTGATTAGTTTTAGACTTATAAATATAAACATCAAAACCTCTATCTTTTCTTTTTAAAAATTTTTTAACATTAATGTATAATGCTCACCACTCCTTAAAGCTAGAAAAATTGCATTATATAAAAAAAACACGATATAATAATCCTTCAGGAGTATCTTTAGATGTCACTTTATACTGTAGTATAGATTGAATTTCTTCAAATGATAGCGAATCTGATCCTTATATTTCCCATATCCTTTTTCAGCTAGGTCTCTAGTTTTTCCACCAAAGATCAAAAAATGCTTGATGATCACATAAGTTAACAGGTTTTATCTTGCTAACATTTGAATTATAAAATCTGTTAATTGCTCAAATAGCAGCTAAAAGTGAATTAGCAGAATATGATAATCCATCGCCTTTTTCGGCAACAGCAAAAATTCACATAATTGAACTTCAAGTTCTTGAATATTATCAATATCTTCTGGTGCATTTTTAGAATTAATATCAGTACGATATTGTTAAAATTTATCTATCCAATTTTTTGTTGACTTATGAGTATTTAAAACTTTAGATTTGTTGCACAAATATGATAATTGTTCATCAGTAGGCTTTTGATAAGTTTTTGTTTTTTTATTTTTGGAATTTGTAAAATTTGAATATAAAAAAAAAAATGTAAGCAGCAAACTTATTAAAAATAAAATTATTTATACTGCTAATAATGTTTTACTTATGATATAAGCTATGAATATGAGAAAATAATACAGTCATTAATAATTGCTTTATAATAATATCATTATTGCACAGTTATAAAAATATGCATGTGGGTGTTGAATGACAGCAGGTGATTGGCACGAATCATGCCACTTCGCAGCATGATCTGTACCAATCACCTGCTGTCATTCAACATCTACATGCATATTTTTTATAACTTGCATAATAACTATATAATATGATATACAAATTTCAAAGTTATTGCATATATACTGTATATGTGTACTTAAATAATATATATATAATTACCTGAAGGCTTGTGATAATGATGGTCAGACCTAATATACAGGGCAGGCTACAAGTTCTTTGGAAACTGTGAGAACTGGGTATACAGCAAGCGATTATGTAAAAGATACTAATCTGGCAAGTTTGTGACCAACATCTTTAAAATCCTGCAACTTGTTTATATGCTATAACAAATTCTTACAATTTTATAAACTACCAATAATAATAATTAAAACTACAATTGCATCATTTATCCAACATCTGCAACAAAATATATCAGAAAATTTTAAACCTAACCTAAAATTTTCTATATACACCTCTCATCATAAAGCATATATATATCTACCCAATGAGTCAAGTATACTCCAAAACCATACTCAATTAACTATTAAGACAATTAAAAAATTTTTACAAACTCCACTTAAATTATATACTACCACATACTCCACTTCTCTAACCCATCTGTTTAATGTACCAAACATTGATAATAATTTATTTCTAGATAATGAAATAGAACTAACTCACTCACCTACTCAGAATACTATTCGCCACTACATAATAACCAAACTATATCTACAAGGAACATATAGGATTTCAACTCCTCTCTATATTTAAATATTGCTACCCACAATGTATAAGGATACAACATGCCAAAGAAACAACTCCTATGAAAAACCTACTGTCTAACTCATAATCTACATATAGTCAGTCTTACTGAAACAAAAATCTCTAACAATACAAATACAAAATTCCTTAACACAGACCACTACTCCTACTACTGGTCAAACTTACCAGACACCAAAGAAGGTACATGCATTATGATCCAAAAACAATTCCAGTCACATATCTACAATATTCTTAACTACTCAGGAGGTGCAATTGCAATAGATCTATTTTTCAAAAATGATCACAAATTCCGAATCATTTCTGTCTACCTCTCCTTAACTAATATAACATATCGTAAATTAACACAAAACAAAGTCATAACATAGATACAACAAGCTATAGCATTAAACCTACACCCAATAATCTTTGGTGACTTTAACACAAATACCGACACAACCGTATCATCAGCTACTAAATTTCAACTATTCAACTACCTACACAGTACTAATATGTATAACTTAGCAGACTACACAAATAACTTACAACATACTTGGCAAAGCACCTGATATCAAACCAGAATCAATTATATATGGGCTAGTTATATACTAATACTATATCTACACAAATTCGAAATAGACAATTCATTATCCTCTACAAATAGTGACCACCAAATCCTAATCTCAACCTAGTTGTTTCTATTGGCACTTTCTAGAACCAACCAAAAATTCAAGTGTAAAAGAAGAGTATTTAACTACAAATCAATGTCTAAAGAAAATTGGAAATCCTTTACAAATCAATTCAAATATGAATATACATCAAGTTTTCATCAACACTGATACAGCAGAATTCCTTGAAAAGACATGGCATAAAATACAAATCTGTATTATTAATGCTGCATATCAGCATATCCCTAACAGAAAAATTATAACAAAAAACTTTTTTCATACATTTACTCCCAAAGCAACACAACTTCACAAAGACCTTAAAACAATTGGACATATAATACACTGGGTTCAAAAATATTTTACACATAATATCACATTGCTAGACAATATATTAGATCTAATTGATAATCTCAACACCAAATACACACAACTTCACTATTAATACACCACCACATCTCTAATCAGACCTAGCCTTATGGGTACAAGAAACCAAAGAATACTGAAAAACACTATATAATGCAAGAAATCTTGAAAATGCACAACATCTTAAACAGCATATCAATCTAGCCACAAACAAAAAATGTGGTCAGTTACTTACTAATCTAACAAAGATGATAAACAGCATACTGAATCAGCATAAAGACACTATACATTTTGAAAACATTAAGACTGACATAGATATTATCAATAACCCAGACGATATCAAACAATATATACATAATTATTATGATAAATGGACAGCACACCATCCATACAACACTACAATCTTTGACTAAGACTGGAAAGCAGAATATCAACCCAAACCAGAAATAAGAACAAAATGGTACGATTCTGTATTTAGAAAAATCTGTACAAAAGAAGTTATACAAACAATTCAACAGCTACCTAATAACAAAGCATGTGGTCCATCAGGGATCAGCTATAAAATGATTAAACATGTTGGACCCAATATGTTACAAGCTATTACTTCACTCCTTAACAGATGTATCAACACCCAAAACATTCTTAAACAATGGAAAGATAATAGAATCTATCCTATCTCCAAAAAATCTCAATTCGACAGAAATCTTAACAACACTAGCCAATCAGTCTAATTGAACACATTAAAAAACTCTATACCAAAATTCTTACAAATCGATTAACCCAAACCTTCACAACATATGCTATACTCAACCCACATAATTATGTTGCACTTTCAGACAACTCAACAAACAACCCAATACACATACTCAACAATTTCATAGAAGATGCTACCTGTAACAAAAAACAAATATGGATACTCTCACAAGACATAAGTAAAGCATATGACTCTGTCAATCTACATCTTCTCATCAAAGCTCTACAAAGACTTAACATGCCTCTACAACTTACAAACATTATACAAAACCTTCTACACAACTGACATAACCAAGTTATTACCAACTTCAGACTTACAATACTATACTTAGTAAAGGATAGTATTGACCAGGGAGAAACTATAACACCATTACTTTGGCGTATCTACTATGATCCATTAATCAACCACATACATCACAAATACAAAGGATACACATTCTCAGTCCAATGGCTTATACAACTTAACCCTACAAAATACAAAAACAAATCTATATCAACATTTGTCTTAGCCTATATGGATGACACATTATGGTTTAGTTCATCTATAAGCCAACTTCAACAAATAACTCATACAGCTGCATCCTTTTACACAATGGCCAATATTTAAGTAAACCCACAAAAATCTATTCTCATCTCAAACATCAATTCAACACCTCGAACCAACTTCATGAACTCTACTATCACTACACAACCCATATACACTCTATTTAAGTTTTTAGACTGCTGGTTTACAGCTACCCTTAAATACAACAAACAAATTAAACTTATTAAACAAGAGGTATCAGGACTCAATGATATACTTAAAACCAAGAATATAACAGATAAACAAGCTATCTACATCATTAACAATATAATTATTCCAATCATAGAATACTGTATTCACAATATAGTAATTCCAAAAACCATTTATAACTCAATACTATCCTTATACCTAACTACAGCTAAACATAAAGCCAAATTACCTATTACAACACCCAATAGTATCATGCTTAACCACAATATTTATAGAATTAAAATATCTGAGATATTCAACTACAACATTATATTTCTAACTTCTTACTTAGAATTAATGATCCAAACCTTACAGGCACTAGCACACATATAAGGCTTCAACAATTACAAAACAATTTATGGTCAAGCACTAATATTCTTCAACATCTACAACCTTTAATTGATAGACCAAATAAGAACACTACTACATTCAAAATCATACAACTATTTAATCAACTTCAACTTAATATAAATATTCACACTAATTTTACACAAATTCACACACTTTAATACCTCTATACAACTATTAAAAAAATACTACACATACACAAATTATACCTATCCTTCAAAAAACAACTACGCACAAAAAATATCATATATCTTGAACAACTTACATCATACAATAATATATTTTTACTAGATTGGTCACATATTTTACTATAACTACAACACATCCCTACAGGTCGCAAACCACTATGGTTCATGACACTAGAAAATAAAATTATTACTGATCAACAAACCAGATTAATTAATACTCAACTACAACTATCGAATACAAA